CGAGCCGAACAGTTTTCTTAAAATTTCGTTGGTTGTGTCCCTAGACGCTGAGGCAGAGACAGTGCACCACCCTGGGAGTGACAGTCCATCTTTGGGAAGTGCAATAGGCACTGCCCTGTATGAGCAGCTATCTGCAACCTACAACCCAGAGACACTGTGGAGGGTGGGAACCTGAATACTTGGGGATCCCTGGGGATTGGCTGAGCAAGAGGCAGTGCCCTCAAGGCAGTTTAGAGAAACTGCTGAGACGGTGCAAGCATACTGGAAGGCGGAAGCTGGAGGTGGAAACTGCCAGGTGGTGGGTGGAGAGGCTCCAGCCTCCTCCACAGCTTGGTGGGCCTGTGCTGCTTCAGACGTGGGGGGAGATGCCCGGCTTTCCAGGAAGTAGACAGCAGGTCCTCCCTCCTGGTTGTCCTCAGGGGCTCTGTCCTGGTGCCTCTTCAACCTGCCCTCTGTAAGGCACCTTCTAGGTCCAGCTGTGGGACGGAGTAGGAGCCAGAAAGGATCTGACCCCTTTGGCTGGGCAGGGTGACAGGTGGGCTGAAAGATGAGTCACTAAACATGATCCTGGCCGCAGGGGGTAGGGAGCAGCTCAGTTTCAGCCCCTTTGAGGGCAAGCGTGACCTCGAAGCTTTATATAGCTCTCTACACCCTATATAAGTTACAAGTGAGGTCTCCTCAGACAGAACTCTCCTGCTGTTCTGGGCTGGGCCAGGCTCCTTCCTCACCCTAGTGCAGTAGAGGCCCCAGAGGGACAGCTTACCCCAAAGGACACAGGATGCCCAGCAGAACTGCCCGCTATGCCCGCTATAGCCCGAGGCAGCGGCGCCGGAGGCTGTTGGCTGATCGCAGTGTACATTTCCCCAATGATGTTCTGTTCCTGGACCACATTCGCCAAGGTGACCTGGACCAGGTGAGGCGCTTCCTCCAGGCCCGGAAGGTCTCCCTGGACACCATCCACCCCTCAGGTAAGCAGGCACTAGAGGAACTGGCTGAGGGTCTGTTGGGGGAGGGGAAGGCCATAAGGGGGTCAGACCTCTGCCTTGACCTCTGTCCCCCTCCCTATCCAGGCCTGGCCGCCCTGCATGAAGCTGTGCTCTCTGGAAACCTAGACTGCGTGAAACTGCTGGTCAAATATGGGGCCGACATTCACCAGCGGGATGAGACAGGCTGGACGCCCCTGCACATCGCCTGCAGTGATGGGTACCCTGATATAGCCAGGTGAGAGGGTGGGCCGGGGCTGCCCAAGCTTTCTTCTCACCCCTCCAAGGCTAGCCTGTTGAGACTGGCCTCCAGGATGTGGCACCCCAAATAGCGGCAAAGGCAGTGTTGGCAAGAACTTCGAAGGCTTCTGAAGGGTTTCTGCCCTATTGCCCTCACTAGAGCACAGTGGAAACCTGGCCACCACTTCCAGAGGGTCAGGTTTCTTTCTCCTCACACTCCCTGGAAAAAGCGAACAGGTGACCCCAGGCCGCCTCCGCTGCAGCCAGCTGCTCTGTGCCCAGGTACCTCATCTCCCTGGGGGCGGACAGAGGCGCAGCCAACGACGACGGCGACCTGCCCTCCGACCTCATCGACCCAGACTTCAAGGAACTAGTCGAGCTCCTCAAAAGAACCAGGATGGACTGAGCTAGGTCTGCCCCAGGGCGCCTGGCGCGGTCACGACCCTGCCCCACCCCTTTCAGACCTGGCTTTTTCTCCAGGTGAATTTTTATGGTGACACTTTTTACTTTTTCAATAAAAGTGATTCCCAAGTCTGCGGTGGTGGCCCTATGACTGTACTGGGTTCCGGCCGCTTCCGGGGGTTGGCGGGCCTCGTAGTCCACTCAGGTCAGGTGGCAAAGCGCGGCGGCCACAACTTCGCAGCCCTGCCCGAGAAGCCCTTGTCCCTCTGCGGCGCGGGTCCCCAGGGCTCCCAAACCTCCCGCAACTCCCCCGCCCCCGCGCGCGCCCGGCAGTCACGTGGCTCGCTCTCCGCCTGCGCCTGCGCGCCGGCTGTGGCGTCACTTCCGGCGGGGCCTCCCAGCTGGAAGAATCGGCTGCGGCGGCGATTCGGGGTGAGGTGAGGCGGGCGCGG